AGAGAAAAAAAAATCTTTCTTCACCGTAACTTTATATGTTTGCTATTCAATATGATTAATACCCCCCCCCCCTTTCCCCCCTAGATTGGTTACTTAGTCAGTGCTGTATTTCGAGAATATTTTAATTAACATTTTTTTTTTTTTTAAAAGTCAAGGTCTTTTTTAGAACAAAATTTCAGTCTCAAAACAAACATGCATCTAAAAAATCACAAAACAATGGTAGTTAAAAATGTACACGTGTCGGCGTTGGTATTTGAAATTGGCAGAGAGTATGTTTCAAATTCAAGTGTTAATGCCCAATGTATTTTATTCATTTATTATTCAAATGTTTGGATCAAATCTAGAAATGATAAAAATAGATGTTATAACTTGTTGGAAATCTTCGATGTGACGAAACTTTCACACCTGCACAGTGTCGAATGACTTTGATTGACAGGACAAGCACGTGGACTTTGTGTGAACTTGAAGCAGGGAAATAAAAACGAGTATGACTGTCAAACAAATGGATATGATTTGTTGATAAAAAAAAAAAAGAAGTTACTTTCACTGTCTGATATATTTAGAAAAAAATTCAGAGTTTTTGTTTGATATAGGTTCAAACATTTAGTGAAGCCTGAAAGGAGGGGGGGGGAGGGAGGGCTGAAACGGAATATTTCTCTCTCTCTCTCTCTCTCTCTCTCTCTCTCTCTCTCTCTCTCTCTCTCTCATTTGTCTGTTTAATAAAAACTATAACAGCATATTACTTAAATATCAAGTTCTGAAAATTGAATTTATAACAAGTAATATGAATATGTATCTTTGTATTATCTTGTCCGAGTATAACCACGGCCATCTACATATACATGTAGAAGTCAGCTCAATAAATTATCAGGAAAAATAGAAATGACACATAATATATTATTTTATTAAAAATTTAAAATACGAGCGTATAAATGCAAAACGTCCACTGACCTTTGTAATTAATTTTTTTAATTACTTTACACGAAATCGCCCTGACACGGAGATTTATGAATGGATGTTACAACCGCTTTAATTCATTCTATAAGTCAGAAGCTTTCTCTGATTTGTTTATACTTCAGCGTTCGGCAACAATTGCAATGTTTTAATGCGATAAAAATCGCGTGATTAAAAACTTAATGTGCATGCATCGTCTTTCTTGGGACAATTTTGGAGAATTTATTTTATTGACTTATTTATTCATTCATTTATTGGATTACTTATTTATTATTTATTTTATTTATTTATTTTTTTTGGCACCTGACATTATAATACAATAAAATAGTTTCAATGCAAGGAAAAGATCAGAGGCATTCCGAATATATCGTTCATCTTGCGTTCACCGTTCGTTCACCGTTCACTTTGCGTTCGCGTTTGCGCTCCGTTCGCGTTCTGCGTTCGCTCACCGTTCAGCGTTCACACATCGTTCACCAAGTTGCGTTCAGCGTTCACACATCGTTCACTCACCGTTCGCTCTGCGTTCGTTCACCGTTCGTTCACCGTTCGCTCACCGTTCAAGTGGGAAAGTAGAACGTTTCAGGGACTGTAACACCAAACATTTAACGTTGAAAATATGTTGAATCTTCAACGTTGTTTCAACGTTGAAATATCAACGACCATTCAACGTTGAAAATATGTTGCAGCTTCAACGTTGTGAAAAGGTTGAGGATTGAACGTTGAAACAACGTTGAACTATAGTTGCTCAACGTTGCAACTTATGTTCCACCTACTTTCAACGTTGAAACAACGTTGCGTGCCTGCTGGGAGTCCATTAAAAAAATCGGGAGCAGAGCAAACACGGACCTCAAAAAGATCAGAGTCGGGATCATGTGCCATGGACGAGTGAGCATCCCCTGCCAACCGGTCACACCCGCCATGTGCTTCTTGTCATAATCGGGAAATAACAGAAGAATCCGTAGACAATTCAGTGTGTGAATAATGGCCTAACAATTAGTATGTAAAACTTTAGTCAGCATTGACTTAATGATAGATTGTATTTGCTGACAAGGTCATTCTATCGACCACAGAACTTACGAAATGATGACTTAAATCGAGATTGTTGATATTTTTGTTTCATCAACTAGTGTGTCAATATCTTGCCTCGTTTTAAAAATTGTTCAATTTAGAGACATTAACCCCGTATGCAGGTGATAAGGGTATATTGCTGCCAAAGTAAGGAAAGTTATCCATCACTTTCATCAGAAAGCTTCGTTGTTTTAACAATTAAAGTCTTTTTCTAGTAAAATATTCAAATATGAAACATATGTGTTAGATTCTGTGTTATTGAAACCTTGAAATTGACCCTTATAAACTGTTAACGCTGAGAAAGCTAATACAGTGTTTTAATATAATTTGCATTAGGGTAGATTACAGCTAATAAATAGCTACCTGTTAGAATTTTAATAATGCTACAATATCCTTCAATCAATAACAAGTTGTTGAACTTTTTGAGAATACGAGCTAAGGATTCGGTTATAAATATTTCATAAAATAACTTTCCGTCCAAATTACTCAGTGAAAAAATATATAATTATGATATCTCAATAATTAACTCGTGATTTCATGGATGTCTTTTTTCCTTTTCACGATAAAAATAAAGTTTAAAAATCACTATTTTTTAAAATTGACTGAGTAAATTGCTACAATTTTAGGGGTTTAAAAATGCCAGTTTTTCTACACTACACAAGAAATCAATATTCTGTTCTTTTGATGTTCAGCTAAAAATACCAAGAATAATTAAAGTTATTGCAAAAATTCATGAAGTGCTGTTTTTTACTCGAGATTAATAAATGTCTCAGAATCCATTTTTAATTGAATTTATACCATTGGTAGAATTCTGGAATGTTAATAAGAATGAACTCTTATGCAAGTACATGTAAGAAGGACAAGTAAAGAAAATTAAGACAGATTTAGGATATACAGGAACAGTATCACACTTATATTAAGGATATTTGTAGGACATATAGGCAGGAGAAGTATCATACTTATTAAGGATAAACTTTGGATATACAAGAACGATAAATTACTTACATTAAGGATATATTAAGGATATCTACGAAGGGGATCATACTTATGTAAATTTTGTTAGCAATACTGTAAATGATCCTTAATTGAAAGAAAATTGTGATTTATGACTAAGGCTAATTTCATACTTTGGACTTTAAGCCCTCTCACTATGCTAGGATGCAACATCCATCTGATACTGTGCTCTGTGTTGACTTGGACAAAGGCTACCCTCTTCCAGACATACTATATTGCGGATACTGACTTAGACGACAAAGTATTGTTTTATTCTCTTCTATCAGTACATGAGTCTGACTCTCTAACTTTATGTTCCACCAGGTGTGGTGGAGACTGTAATTGTCTTGGCTACAACTCCTTGAGAAAGAGATGTTGTCTTTATAAATCATGTGATTCTGGGAATATAACAGATTATGAAGCTGGGTGGACGTATTACAAATCAGTGTTGAAAGGTACGAAACATTTATAGAAAAAAAATGCTATCACTCCTAAATTGCTTTCCCACAGAAGTCCTATTTAGAACTTATAAAAGATAGTTTTTGAATTCAATATACCGCATTGTCAAATTTGTTAAAACGAATTTATAATATTATAAAACAATTTTGGAATTTGTGATAATGAATTGATTCTTTATGATAAATGTGTTCAATTCGTTTTCACGAGAGAAAAGAATCTGCTGATGGATGTAAATAAATGCACTGATGTTATGTATATAAAACAGTCTTAAGTATAGTATTTACAGTGACTTTGTTTCAACGTGTACAATCATAATTTGGGAGAAAAAAAATTTTTCCAATCCCAATCTACAGATTTATTTTATCGTAAAACAAATTTCTTTCATCTTTACATACGTAGATAATAGAAAAATGAATTTTTGAATATTCACTACAAACCAAAGCATGTGATTTTTATAGGAGAGGGATGGTTGTTGTACAGAACACATTATTACTTACTTATCAAGAATAGGAACACATGGCAGAATGCAAAGGTAAGAATTATATGTCTGTTATGTTATATATGCATTAAGCATCGTGACATGAACGTATGCATGTGGCTCTTGGGGCCATAAAACAAGAGGCAGGATCACTCAGTTGATCTTTCATGAACATCATTTATTCTAATTTGAAACCTTTCAAAGGAGCATGATTTACATACATGTAAACCACCACCACCACCGTTGCAAGGGCCCCTCGCTTTGGTAGGAGACTCAGTCTCCTCTCTAATATATTCTCTCTCAGTCAAATTAAGAACATAATGCAGAAGATAGGATTGATCAAATGGCTATATTGGAAAAATGAAGGTCATATAAATTCATGGAATTAATAATTGTAATAAACCCAAATGTAATTACCTTTCAAATAAAATCTCTTGCAATCGTTCATGACAGTCCTTTATATCTAGATTTAATGACAAGTGGAATATGTTTTTGGTCACCATGGTATATTTTCAGACATTATGTAAATTTTCAGGCTTTGCTTGGTATAATTTATTCAGTTAATAATTCACAATGCTGTAATTTTCTTGTCTGTATAGTCTTGTTTTATTTATATCCAATCTATTTATAATGATGACGGGGAAACTTTTACAGATTATTATATAAAAATACAGTTTCTTAATCATAAGACAGGTAGAACGCTTTTTGCATATTTTTGTGCGCCTACCCCTTAATTAATGCATATATATATATATATATATATATATATATATATATATATATATATATATATATATATATATATATATATATATATATATATATATATATATATATATTTCATCCATTGAGCCTAGAGGTAATATATATTACATTGAAACTTTTTTCAGAATGAGTATGAAAAGCTAGGGGCCCACTTGGTTACCATAGAAACAGAGGAAGAAAATTCATGGCTAACACAAATGTTTCTCCCAGCCTGGGATCCTGGTAAAGTGTTGTTTGGGTTTTTTTTCTGTAAACATTCTATTCTAGTTAAATGTTAAAAGTATTATAGATTACAATCAGTACGTTGCTCATAATATGGATGATTATCAGTAGGAAGGTGGTAATATGGATGATTATTAGTAGGACGGTGGTAATATGGATGATAATCAGTAGGACGGGGGTAATATGGATGATTATTAGTAGGACGGTGGTAATATGGATGATTATCAATAGGACGGCGGTAATATGGATGATAATCAGTAGGACGGTGGTAATATGGATGATAATCAGTAGGACGGTGGTAATATGGATGATAATCAGTAGGACGGTGGTAATATGGACAATTATTAGTAGGACGGTGGTAATATGGGTGATTATCAGTAGGACGGTGGTTATATTGATGATAATCAGTAGGACGGTGGTAATATGGATGATAATCAGTAGGACGGTGGTAATATGGATGATTATTAGTAGGACGGTGGTAATATGGATGATAATCAGTAGGACGGGGGTAATATGGATGATTATTAGTAGGACGGTGGTAATATGGATGATTATCAATAGGACGGCGGTAATATGGATGATAATCAGTAGGACGGTGGTAATATGGATGATAATCAGTAGGACGGTGGTAATATGGATGATAATCAGTAGGACGGTGGTAATATGGACAATTATTAGTAGGACGGTGGTAATATGGGTGATTATCAGTAGGACGGTGGTTATATTGATGATAATCAGTAGGACGGTGGTAATATGGATGATAATCAGTAGGACGGTGGTAATATGGACGATTATTAGTAGGACGGTGGTAATATGGGTGATTATCAGTAGGACGGTGGTTATATTGATGATAATCAGTAGGACGGTGGTAATATGGATGATAATCAGTAGGACGGTGGTAATATGGACGATTTTTAGTAGGACGGTGGTAATATGGGTGATTATCAGTAGGACGGTGGTTATATTGATGATAATCAGTAGGACGGTGGTAATAAAGATTATTATCTGTAATAATAAGGATAATTTGCAGTAAGCCGGTAGTATTATTGATGAAATTCTAATATGGAAGATAATGAGTAGGTATGTGGTAATGTTAATAATGATCAGTAGGCAAGTGGTTAAAGGGATAATAGTCAGTAGGTAGGGTGTTTTATTTATGATAAGCCATAGGTTGGTGGTAATATTAATGATAATGAGTCTCAAGTTTTCACTTTTACGTGATTCAATTGTTTCGGTTTTTCCAAAATCTGAAAATCTCATTCTTACATAGAATTGTATCTAAACATATTTCTTATAACTATTTAGGGTCTTTTGGTTTGGCAATTGCACCTGCTTGTAAATGGTACTAAGTTCATCTTTAAATAGTGCTCTGTAATAAAGAACAAGGTTCACTTAGGACCTTTTTGGCCTTGTAAAATTCTGAAAAATTGAAACCGCTTAGTTTTAGTTGACAATGCATTTAATATCATTTAAGTCCTTCTTGACTGCGTATCTGTCAAAAATGTTGCAATTTTCTGGCTAATCAATGTATTATTACGTCAAGAATTACGTCACTTTTTCTATATCCTGAAAATTTCAACAAAAATGGCCAAAAGTTTGAGTTATTTTTTGATATTTCGTATAGAGCGCAACCTCTGATCTAAAATATGCAATTATATAATGATAGAACTGTCTCTGAAGATTGCATAGCATCATTTATTTGTTTTTCTCGATCAAGGGGAGCGCTCATATTATGATTTTTCACTGAAAGAACGCAAATTAGCCTGTTTTCTTTTAAATTCAAGAACACTGGAATTTCACAAAGCCTGTTTTCCAATAGCAGTCCTTTCAGAGAAAACTTTTATAAAGAAAATAAAAGCACTAAGTCTCTACTTTATATTGATGTCTGAAAAGGGACATAGAATTACTAATCAAAAAACTGGAATATCTAAAGTGCCATTTTATGCATTAAGTGAACATTACTCTTTACATGATGACTTCTGTTTCACTTTTGATAATTTTTTCATTTATATCTAAATTTCAATTTGTTTCTTTCAGTCCAATGCAGCACTTGGTGGGATTGTTGTTCACATTGGATTGGTGCAAACGATATTGCCCAGGAGGGGAGATTCGTCTGGACAGAAAACAACCGTGACGTCACTTCCTACTCCAACTGGCATCCCATGGAGCCTGATGACGTCAACGGACAGGATTGTGTCCATTTATGTCGTAAAGGAGTTTGGGGGGATACCCCGTGTCGCCAGGTGTATTCATACATTTGTGAAAAAGATTAAAAATGTTACGTTGTGTGTAAATAACCAAAGTTGAACATTTTTTTTATATAGAAAACAGTAAAAATATTCATATAAATGTCACCTGTAAAAGCGTTAAAAGGAATTTCCTTCAAGTAAATTTGTCTATCATTTTACTGTTGCATTACTTTATAATATCAAAAAAAGCCTAGATGAAAGAAATTCCTCAGTAAGAAGTGCAGATAAAGACGCTTACAGCGAACACGCTTGTAATGAATTGACGCTTACAGCCAAGTTATTTTCATTTCCGAATGTGAACTTTACGGTTATAACGAATTACCTTAATAACGAATCACAATTGTCCATCCCTTCTTCATAACCGCTTTATAAGCCTCTGCCATAGTAATTTAGTTTTGTTCAAAAGAAAGATTTTCCTTAAATTAAAGACTTAGGAACATTACACACATATATAGAATTATTTTAATACGGTAACGTCGTTGTACAGCTAAGATATGAAGATACCATGATATAATGCATCAATGTTGGTTTCAATCGTTTTTTTAATATTCTTTTTTTAAAAATTATTTAAAGGAGATTTAGAATCTTCAAAGACTGACACGGTATCGATTTATTTATGCAATATTTCTTTTTTTATGAAATTTAAGAGATATCAGTCAAAAAATCTGAAAATGCATAATGTAACTTATTCAAATAAATCGGACCCAAATGTAACTCAGTTCCGACTAAATGACTCTCAATGATCGACAGAGACATATAAAGAATCAAAAACACTTGTCTGGGTTTTCTTCTTCTTTAAAATAATCTACAAAATATATTTGATGTAAAATCTCATGAATCTAGTAAACAAAACGCATCGTGATCGTGAGCAGGACAAAACACGGATCCCTGGAGAACACCAAAGGATGGATCAGGTGCCTAAGAGGAGTAAGCATCCCTTGATGACTGGTCATACCCGCCGTGAGCTCTATGTATTGATCAGGTATACAGAGTACTCAGTAGTCAAATTTAGTTAAAGTAATGACCTTACAAATCGTATCGAAGATATCAAACACAATACGACCCAACGACAGGTTGTATTCACAAAACAACGTCATTAAAACGACCGTAGAATTTGCGGAAAGCTTACTTTAAACAGAGTTGTTGAAATACTTGTAAATCAAGTTATATGTCAGTAGCTTCTGAAATAAAAGACAAATGAGAGTAAGCATTTTCTTACATCTTTCGAAAAAAAGTCATTCTCTCTTTAGTATCACATTAAGCTTAAGGCGTTACAATACGTATTGCTTACGTATTGCTTACATAATACACAAATAATTGTTTTCATTAAGGTAATGATGTTTTGAAAACTTACCCAGGCCTGTCGCTTGTAAATTTCCATTGGGGGGGGGGGGTCTAGAACAAGACCTCCGGGGGATAGCTCTAGAGTAAGCTTTCCTCATAGAAGCAGTCTCCGATAGGAAATCTTCCAGGGGAGAAATATGGCTCTAATCGGAGAGTATGCCTCTAGGGGGAAAGTATGACTCTAGGCGGAAAGTATGGCTCTAGAGTTTGTTTTCTTCCTCGGAGGGTAGTCTCATTTTAGAGGGAGGCTCCAGCGGAAGTCTCACTATCAAAGGAAGTTTTGCCGTACATCTATGTACGCACAGACGGTTGGCAGACTGATTAAAATCTCAAACTAAGCATCTCAATGCTAGAAAAAAAATGTAGATAGAATATTAACTGAATTATTTATACTAATATGTCCGACGGTGAATCCGTTAGGGCGAGCGCTGTTACATTTTTGTAATAATTATTCCACAACTTTATACACCTCTCAAATGTCGTTTTGCATTCTGCTATGAAATTTCACTTTCAGTAAACTCCTTTAGCCTGCGTTTACTGCGTCTCGTAAGTTCAACTACTTTAAAAAACGATATTTATCACAAAATAGATATATTCTCTTCCTTTGCAGACTTCCCATGCATCTGGATCAGATTCCAAACTTCTCGGATTTTTTTTCGAAAATTTAAGAAATACCCGAACCGTTTAAATGACGAATTTATTACGTCACATACAAAATCATTTGGTCTGAGCAAGCAACAAAGGATAGTTTTACGTTATGAAACTTGCATCAAATCTTTGTTTGTAATTTTCTTTCAAGCAAGATGTTGCTATGTTTAAGCAACCATCTTGCTATGACTGCAAAGGATTACTGGGAGATTGGAATTTTCTCACGTGGACTGATAAAAATATCTTTGAACAATGTGTAGATTTCAACCCGAATTTCTTCCGTTCGTACACGCTGTCTATGGAGCTGGCTGCGCTCGTTATTAAGAAATTGTAATTTTTCAGAATATGAAAAGCACTAAAACTATTTGTGATATGTTATGATGTTTTATTTATCAAGCTTATATACAAATGTACAAGTATAGATAAAATACTAAATACTATACCCCACACTCACTCTCTTGCAATTATTGTCTTTTAACTCCCTTCCTTATTTCTTCTTTCTTATTTCTGCATAGAAAGCTTTCCTAGGAAAGCATGTCTCATATACTGTTAGTTAGATTATGAAATATATTATTTGTAAATGCAACATATACTTATTACAAAAGAAAATGTATAATAAAAGATATAAGGAAGTAAAAACGAAAGTTTGTACTGATTGTTAACTTATCTATGTTTATGTGAAAACATAATTAAAATTTATAAATAATTATTTTAAATTTTTACACTTGAGCTTAAATGATTGATTGTATGTTTTTTTACGTCCCGTTCGAGAATTTATCACTCCACTTGACCTTAAAGCTTGTTTGATAGAGAAAACGAATCTCCTTGATTTGAGAATGTCAATTGAAATTTTAAGTTCTATTAAATCCTATGCAAGATTCTGATAATTTTTTGTAGCACTCTACCCCCTGGGATTTTGATTGAACAAAATTTATTTTACACTTCGTGAGGATGTCTGCATAATAATATGACTAATCTTTGCCCTGCAGGTCTTGATAAGAAAAGACTTGCGAACGATAGTATGTTTTGCCGCCTACCCAGGTAGCACAAAACATTTTCAAAACATTTTACTGCAGTTATAAAAAGGTTTTTTCAAAACATTTCATAGTAAACATTTTTAAAATGTTTTTAAAACATTTTTCTTTCCCATTGTAACATTTTAAAAACATTTTTAAAATGTTTTCAAAATGGTTAATGTAAAATCTTTAAGGAACATTTCTATAAAATGTTTTGGAAACGTTTTAAAAACGATTCGAAAGGTATGTTTTGTTTGCATATATTAAACAGTTTCATATTACGTTATAAAAATGTTTTTAAAACATAATATAAAACATTCCTCTTCTATAAATCTGTAACATTGTAATGTTACTTTTCTAAAACATTTTGAAGGAACGTCGTCAAAATGTTTTTAAAACACTCTACATACTGCTTATAGTATAATATTTAAATATTTTCAAGTGTTGGTCGTGAAAATGTTTTTAAAACATTTAACAAAACGTTTTCTTCTCCTACAACTGAAACATTTTATTTATGATTTATGCAACATTTTATAGAAACATTTTCAAAATGCATGTTTTTAAAACATTTGTATCATTTTCAATATTAATGCATTTATTTATTTTCAAAGTATGTTGTAAAAATTTTTTCAGAACATTGACTTTAACGTTTATTCTTCTAAAGACTTTAACATTTTATTTAGCATTAATGCAACATTTTGTAATGTAATTTTCAAAATGTTTTGAAAATATTCACGACTAACCCAAT